GTATGCTTTTCCACTAGGGTAAGAACACTGGGGGGGGGGGGGCTCAGGCTGGGGCTGCTGGAGCAGAGAAGCACAAGACTTTTTTTTATGCCAGGAGCAGCTAGTCTGCACAAGGCAACGTAACTGGAATGCAGCCTTCAGCCCCAACTAGCTAAACCAAATTGTTCCCTGGTTGTATGTTGTGTCTACAGGCAGTAGAAAAGAATCCAGCTGCAGGGGCCAGATGGTATGGGAAGTTTGCATTTGCTGGGAAACCCAGTCTGACGGGAGCGGAGATGGAGTGAAAGCTGGGTTTTAACAATGCCACTTTGTTTGGATAATCCTATTTAGCTGCTTTTCAGGCTGAGATGAGGAAGTTTGCTTTGTTGCAACTGCCCTTTGCTACCCTTACTCTACACCCAGCCTGAAATCGCATGTGCTGAGGACTTCCACAGCTGTATCCCACAAGTAATACCTTGGGGGACAATCCAGAGACCCAACATTGATTTCAAGCGTTCTACTGTAGTATAGGTGACCGCATTGCCCATTTTGAGTCATGGGAACATAGACCTCTAAGGACCTCCTGGGTCAGAGCCTAGTCCCTCTACTCCTTTTCATAAGGGTCCATTCAAGATTATTCTTCAATGTAGCTAGTTATTTTTTTTGCCCTCAGTGGTCGGTCCTACTAGGCAGCTATTCCAAAATTTCAGTGAACTGATTAAAAACCTTCTAGTTTTCAGCCTTACTTTATTCACCGTCAGTTTATAGCCATTTATTCTAGCACCAACACTGTCCTTTAGCTGAAACAGCTCTTCTCCCTCCCTACTGTTCATCACACTGATGCATTTAGAAATGACAATCCTACAACCTCATCACCATCATTTTGCTAGTTAAATGAAACAATGTCTTCTAGTCTCATCTAGCATTCAACATTGGTGGGAGAGACAGGAGCAGCGCCAAATTACATGACCACAATTGTTTAACGCTTGCAGAACCATGAAAAACTTAACAAAAAGTAGAATTACAAACTCACCTTGCACAAAGAGATGCAGCTGCAGTTTATTTCCTTGAGAAGTTGCTTCCCAGCTAAAACTAATGGATTGAGGTTTAAACCTATTATTGCCAAGGTAAACAACTCCCTGACAATCTGAGACCTGACTTATTTCTTCTTTAACTATCAGGACGCTTGGTGGATGCCCTGAAGAACTACGAGGTCATCTTCTACCTGGCTGGCTCGGAGGTTGTGCTCTCCTCCCTTTTCCTGGGCGTGGTGAGCTACTGCTGCCTGAATCGGGGGAAGAAGACACCTCCACCAGCAAAGACCTCTTCCACAGGTGGTTGCAGTGACACAGAAGAGGCAGAGTCAGATGCACAGGAAGTAGAAGACCATGCAGGTGACAACCACCAACAATCCTACAGCACCAACAATGCCCTCATTGTGGGGAGTGATGCTGTGAACCACTTAAGGGAGGATCAGAGCGTGGATGCAGTTGGGCGCCCTGAGGGTGATGGGGAGGCATTGATGCCAGTCAGATGCAGCTCCAACCAAACAGTGGAGAGAGAGAGTTTTTAGGGAGTTAAAAGCCAGGATGGAGGAATATAGACACAGTGCTAAAGCACTGGATTGGTCTGGTTTGCAGACAACTATGTAAGTGGGAAGAACATGGGGGGAAGGATTGGGGTGAGGAGAGAAATGTGGGCAAGTGTGGAAGGACAGGAGAAAACCTAAGAGTTAACAATTTTTAATGTATATACGTAGAGACATGTTATATCTAGTGATGTGTTTAACAGCATGCTGCACGTCTACTGATCTTTCACACAGGCTCAGAGGAGCATTCTTGCTATCTAAACTGGCCCTGGAAAACTTTAAGAGTTAACTAAGGCAATCAGTGGGCTTTAATTTTCCTTTCTAAGATGTCCCAATAAACCAAAATTAGATTCTTTACAACATGATTTCCAGCTGTTTGCTCTGTCTTCAGTGTCTCTCATATCTGCCTCAGGACAAAACAGACTGTAGAAGGGCAAAGGAAACTAAGGCACAATATTCTTAAGATGAACTTGCCTCTCCCACAGACTGAGACTACGTAGGCCATGTTTGCAGGAACCGATGGCATAGGAAGGATGTGATGGTTCTCTTGCAAGGAGGCAGTGGGGGGATTGGGTCTGGAACAGTAATTCAGTAAAGAGTGCAAGGGAAGAAAAAGCTTATATAACCAAATGCCACTAGCCAGCCTCTATGATGTAAGGCCTCAAGTGAAGGAATATTAGCAAGCCCTCTCCCTAAAGGCTGCATCTGCTAGATTTAAACTGGATGTGGGAGAGGGTAGTTGGCATGTGATGGGAATAGCTGGCAGTGTGGGGGTGGTCTTTCTTCAGGGCCCAGGTATAGATGAGCCATGTTCCAAGGGATTATCCAACTCTGGAGTAATAGTACACAAGGGCTTGGTGTTTATTTAAAAAGAAAACCCCTTATACAAAGGACTCAATGTTACAGCAGAAGAACATGCAGCAGCCAGAGGGTACAATGAATGACGGTGTTTGACCAAGTAGTAAATCAGGCTTGGGGCCCCCAGGCTGTAGGGATGGATTTCTGGATTCTAAGAGACCAATCTTCCCTGGCATGCTTAAACAACACTTAATCTGCTTTCAAACTGGGTTTCTCATAACCCCTGTAGTCAAAGCCTTTTTTTCCAGTTTCATGAACTGTGTCACCTTGCATACCCTATGGCAGCACCTTGCAGGACCTATTGCTACATCAAGGGATCAAAAACTGAATAGAGGAGCGGAAGGCAGCAGGCTCAGGGCATGACTCAGTAGAGGCAATCTGCAGAGGAATTGGGTCATGGGAGAGGGGAAAGAAAACAAGTCTTGCTTCAGCTGTTTCTCATCAAGGCACCTGCTCACAGGTGCCATTGATCTGTTGTAACAAAGACAGTTTTAGAAAAAGAGATGGGAATAGAATGGGTCAAATAAACTAGCAAAGCTGTGCTTCCTCCCTCTGTGGCTGAACTGCAGCAGGTGGCACTGCTACCTCCTTGTTGTGTGACAAATGGTTTCAGACTGCTGGCCCTGAATTCATGATAATTTACTTCATGCACTCAAATGCGTCCGAGCCAAGTGTCAAGCTTTCAAACCCTTGTAGAACTGGTACAGAAGATGTCAGAGACTTTCCATTACCTAGTATACGTCCTTGCCCATCAAGAATTCTCTCTGAACGTTCTCTGGAGCATTGTCTTGTTCATCTGCTTTTAAATGACTTGAGAGCAAGAGCTGTCAGCACATCTGTGGCAAGACTATTCCAAACAAATAGATTTAACCGGAGCAAATCTATTCTCAATACTCAGCCAACACGACCCTTCACTCAATTTCAGCCTGTAGATTCTAACCATATAACCAGCCCTCTTTTAATGCCAACTTAATATGCTTCTCTGCAAAGAAGCTTGGGTAAGGAAAAAATTATAATTGGGAAACAGCCCACGAGCTGCTCTTGTTCACTGAGTATCTTACCTAGCTTCACAGGCAGACAAGGTTCTTTGGGTAGGTGTGTTTATCTTTTATTAGACCAACTAAATATTTGGAAAAATTGTTCTGTGCAAGCTTTTGGGCACAAACACCCTTCTTCCTATCCTCCGAATTCAAGGGTCACAGAAGTAGTATATTGCCTCCTCTACCTTTCTGTTTGTTAAGTTGCACTGAGCATATAACTCAGGACCTGTGCCCCTATGATCACTCATTTGGAGTTCTTTCCTTTACACATTTGGTCCAGTTCTTTGATTACCATAATTGCTCATTTTACTTCCCACTGAAGAAATAATGGCCTAGCTCATCAGCAGGAACTAATTTGAATAACTTTTTAAATGAGACTTGGTGCCACAATGCTACCCAATATGCCATTCCAAAGGCAGTCTTCCCAATGTCTTCTGCCAGTCAAGTTTCTAGAAATGGGTAGAATATGACTGCAGCAAGTGGGCTTGTGGCACTCAGTCTTCCCAGTCACAATTGTCTTGCACATTCCTATAAGCTACTTTACATGTCTGGCACAGCTGGCAACCTTTCAGGGGCAGGGCTTCAATATCAGCATAAGCTTGTGGCATCTAATGTGGTATGCTTGAGAAGGTACCATAGGATGAGACACATACGGAGCACTGTGTTTTATGAGATGGATGATGGCCCTCTAAGTCAAGTCACAGGAGGGCATGGAATAGCAGTATACACAGAAGTACCCTATGTACATCATACTTCTTATTTGCAAAGCAGGCTCATACTGCAGCCACCACCATTATGTCAGCTCTGTTTAAGGAGCTAACGATTCGCATGTGACAAAAGCTACTTGGACAATTCAGATACTTTATATTTCACCTTAGGACTACAGTAAAGGGATGAGAAGTGACAGAACCACTAAAATGATTTTTAAAAGAAAAAAAAAATATAGTGTTTTCTTTATTACAGGTATCAGTAAACACATTACAACCCATTCAAGTCTTCCAGAGCAGCCTGGCCCTAAACAGCCTTCTCCCAGGCACTGATGGAGAAGACAAGAGATTCTATAAACAAAGTAAGGAGAAATATATACAACATAAATTAATGCTCTTGCATAGCTTCTCTCACTGCCATCATTATGGGCTGGGGAGAAGCTAAACCCATCACCCTCAAAGACCCTGCCACAGGTATTATTGCCAGCTGCCAATACCAAAGGCCCTCTCATGGAACTGAGATTCCCCAAGAGGAGAGAGAAAAGTAGAGGGGTCCAATAGGATCCATGCTCACCTTAAGTTTTTTCTTTTTTCCTTTTGCCTTGTGTTCAAGGCAGGGTGAGAGGGACATTAGCCATGAGGTCTGGCTAAGCTCTCTGACCTGAAAGTAATGCTGTAAGGGTAACAGAATGGTTGCGTAAGGAAGGGCAAGGAAAGTTGACAGGTGGCAGTAAGCTCTATGCTTAGTATGGCTGCTTACTCTTGTGTTTAAGCATCTCCGCTTTGTCCTCTCCATGCAGCTTTCTGAGGCTCTTGCCCCCTCTACTATAAGGCTACAGTATGTCTTCCCTAGTTTTAAATTGGACATACTCCTTCACACAGGCTCAAGGGGAAGGGTGCACGTAGAAGGTACTGCATCCAGAAGGAGCACATTTGGTTAAAGCCAACCATGAGCAAATACAAGAGAACAATGACTGAGAGGGAATGCCCCAACCAGAATCCCCTGACTCCACATCAAAGTCTATGAGCCTTTCTGCACTGATCCCTACAAGCTAGCCATTTGCCTCTCTGCTGGTGAAAAGGATTCTCTTCTGGAACAACAAGGCCCTCTCTTTCCTTGGGAAGGGTGATGCTGCATTCAGGAATAACTCCTATTTCCTGAAAAAGATGGCACAATCCCTTGGAGAAAGCAGCACACGATGGTTGTCTGTTTCTTCTGGGACAGAAGAAGCAGGGCAAAGTAGTCAATAGAATTACTGGGAAAGGTGGCCAATATTCTACTATCCCCCTCAGGGGGCAGTAAATTAGTAAATAATAAGGCTTAAAAGTTGGGTGTGTTGGCAGAGGAAACTTCTCTACCAATACTGGTCAGTAATGAGGTGAGTGATCTGGTTGACTGCCCTTTACACAAGTAGTGAGAACAGACCAGGGGGCATTTTCCAACTATCCATAGCCATCCCTCTCCCAGTGCTGTATTGTTAGCTTACACAGGCAAGCAGTAGCAAAGGGACAGCAGCATGTCCTGCACACTCTGTAGTAGCCCCTCTGCCAATGGAACGGTGCACTAGGAAGTGGAATTTTTTGAGGGTTTCTAGACTATAAACCCTCTCCTCTCCACATCTGACTTGACAATGGAATTAGAGGGGAGGGGAGGGGGAACACAGCAAAGAGGGAGAGAAGAAGACAGAGGCTGGACCACATCAACCCATCTGCCCACCCCTGAAGCACAGTCATCCCAGGCAGAACTTTATATATAAAATCACAAAGGATGAACTGCCATTAAAATAGATTTTATCAGTCTCTGTCATGTCTGTTCCAGCTGCCACATCAGCTTATTCAGGCATCATCGATGAGCTTCTCACCATTTGCTTCCTCCTTCCTACTGCCCTCCCCATCTCCACCATTCTCCTCCTCCTCTTCTGCCCCATCTGTGAAGACATCCTTCTGACCATAGCTCAGGGTGGTGCGTGCTAGATCCACCTCGATGGGAAAAACGTCTGCATCCTGGAGCACGCCATAGCAGTCATCGTAATACTTGGACATGGTAGAGACAAAGCGCTGGAGCTGGAACACGATGTCTTGCACTGTAGAGTGGATGGGGAGGTGAATCAGTGCAGGATATAGCAGATTGCGTGGGAAGGAGAAACACAGTCTCATTTGTTCAGTGACTTGCCATTGTGTCCACCCCCACTCTCTTTCACATTCAAACCCACATACAAAGGCTGTAACCAAGTCTTCCTCTCTCTGACTAGCTAAAGATTTTTGTGTTGCAGTTGCATTCATGCTCTAAACCCTGTAACAAAAGGGCTCATGGAGGAACACAGAACCAGACAGGACAAGGTCACTGAGATGCAGGCAACAAAGGCTGCTCAGCTAAGATGAGGAAAGAACCCAAGAGCAAAGAATCAGTCCTAGACCAACCCACATAAGCTGCGGGCAAAGGCAGACTCACCATGTTTCTGGTCCAGCAGCTCAATTTTCTCCAGCACATCTTTCCTCATCTTGGCAAAACGTGCGCGTGCCTCCTGGCGACAGCGTAGGATAAGGCGGTATTCATAGTTTCCAGTGCTTACCCTGTAGAGAGGCTCACCCAGTGCCTGCCAAGACCACCACACTATTTTAGAGACTCCCGAAGAGCAGCACACCAAAGGGTCTGCTTCTACAGAGCTTCTATACTGATGGAAGCTCATGGACCTCAAGTCACCAAACCAATCACACAGCAGCCCTTTTGGGTGCAGTGAAGTCATTCATGAGTTGCTGAACATTATGGACTCCTAGACGATTAATGACTTAAGAGCCTAGAGCTCTGAGCACCCAATCTTAGGAGAGCCAACAGTTAAAATGGCTGTAAAGGCTTCTACATGACAACAGTTATGAAGTAATAACAACACAAAGTAAGATGAGTTGGCTATGCTGAACTGGATTTGGCAGTGGACCCATTAACGTAGAAACCAGCCAGACTAATCCTCAGGGCTTAACTTCTGTATGTGCATGTGGGTCCCATATGGGCCACATCTGAGGGATTGAGGAAATGCAGGTGGGATGCATGAACTTGCAACAGTAAGAGTGTGACTCCTGCCTTCCCAACACGTGGAATGATTGATTATCCCATAGCATTTTTGAGAGGAAAGGATCAGAGTATGTCAAGCAAAGTGCATAGTGCCCTCTAATGACACTCATCCTTTCTTGTGCTGATGGTTTTGAAATATGCTTCTCTTTTACATGTGCCAAAACCGAGCAAAAGCATTCAGCTGAAAAATTCTCCCTTCTTCTACAGCAAGATGTTATATTGTCATTGGGTGCTCAGTTATTCAACTTTTATTAGTTACCGGAGAGGCAGCACTGTCCAGTCATCTGAGAACAGCACTCAGAGCCAAGACTTGTTTTAACCCCAGCTCCAGACTCTAATACTGACCTGGGACAAGCCACATCTTTTGTTTACAGATGGGGAAACTTGAGATGTTTACCTTTGTAAAGGTGATGGTCAGGATTAGCTAAGGACTCTGAAAATTCAAAAAGCTGTATTTAACACCAAGAGTAATTTTCTATGTGGCGTGAGGATTTAGGAAGTCTTCTGATTTAAATATATATTTCTAAAAGTACATTTCTTAAGGAAAACTCATTTCAAAGGAATTTCTCTTAAGCTACGTGGGCACTCTTACCCCACAGTAAATAAAACCTAGTCTGACGCAGCTTGGTCCCCAGTAAAAGAGGGGTAAAATTACCATGGGTTACCTTTTCTGTACCACAGAGGAGAAGCATGCACATGGACAATTACTGAACAGCAATCAACATGTTGAAAAGGCCAACTCCTCCTCTGCCTTGTAACAACTTGTTTTTATGCTTCTGTCCTGACTACACGTATAGAAAAGAAGGTTGGTTTGCAAGGGGTGCAATGGCACTAGTGTTCCACAAAAGTTACTGCTTCCAGTTTTTTTTTTTAATTGCACTTGAAGCCCTTCAGGTTTGAACACTTGTTTATTAAAAGTGCTCACCACAATGTAGGGATATCCATGGATGCAGGTGAACACAAGTCTGTCTACACTTGTCTGCAACCACAAAAACCAAGTGCTACAGAAACACAACCTGCTGTAGTTTTGGTACTTACAATGCAGCTGTACTCCTCATCATCCATTTCTTTCACTTTCAGGCAGTAAGACTATAAAGAATTAAACACACAAAATACAAAGGTTTAAAATAAGTTCCCACCATCACCCAGAGCAGCCTGGCACCCAGTTATCAGCCAGTTAGAAGTGCAGGGGTTCTCCCAGTTTGTGTCTTCATGCTATAATTCTATGAAACAATTTCTCCAGAGCTGTCAAAAGCAAGAACTCACCAAGTACTCAAACTTGACATCCAAGTATTTTTTGATCGTCAGCCTCGTGTCAGGAATGGCTTTATTCAGGTATGTGTTCAAGTCACTCAGCATCTAGGGAAAAACAATGATTCATAAATAATAAGACCTAAAACGACTATCTGTGATGATCACAGATCTCTGATCTCCTGTATAACATGGCCATAAGACATCTCCAAATTAATTACTCTTTGAAATCTTGGGGGAAAAAAATTGCCCATGATGGAATATCAACCACAACTCCTGGTCCATTGTTCCAAATGTTCAAAATGCATGCCTAATTTCATGACTAATTTTGCATAATTTCAGTTTACAGCCTGTCGCAGGGCACTAAGGTGCCTGCTTCTTTAAGAGCAGAAACTGCCTAGGGAGAGGGCCCTAAGAGCTAGACAGCAACCCCACAGGCAGGTTACTATGGCAGCAGGCTTAACAAGGGATGCAGGTGCGGATACAGGTGCAGAATTAGCCTGCACCTGCATCCAGTCAGCTGACCGGAAGAAGGCAGGGCCCTGGGCATATATAAACCCCAGGGCTGAGACCAGCAGGAGTAAGTCCTCTGGCAGCAGCCAAGGGAGGGAGCCTCCAGGGAAGAATTGCCCAGAGATGCTGTAGTTGCCTGATATGCTGCATATAGGGCTAATAGGGCTCCAGGAGCTCACCAGGTACCCTGGCCTACAAGGCACTTAGTGCTGGGGGGAAACTTGACTCTTTTAAAGGAATAGAGTGCACCCTGAACTGCTTGTATTATGTTATACAAGCAGACCCAAAGGCCCATATTTTGGTTGCTGTTTATAAACCGGTGGATCAGGCTGAGGCAATTGGGAAGGAGGAGGCCTAATTGGGGGTCCACTACAGTGTGGGGAACCCAGCACCAGGAGGTGCGGTGACAAAGGGGGTGAGCAGAGCCCAGCGCCAGTGTGGGGCGCAGAGACAGGGCTGCGGAGAGCCCAGGTGATGACAGGAGGCCAAGCTATATCAAGGCCCTCAGAGAGGCAACATTTAAATACCATCTGCAAGGCTTGGGGCACAGTAAAGAGGTGGTTTTGGAGCTACGCATCTAGCCCATAAGGCTGAGGGTGTCCCGTGAGGCATCCATTTTGAGCAGGACCCAAAAAGGGGTCCAAGAACCCACAGGGACCGAGTCTAAACACAAACTCGAGGGCAGCCTCCCTACATTATAAATTACTAGCAAGACGTGGCAGGAGAGGAAAAGGGTGCCCATTAGGTAAGACTGGCACAGTCACAGAGCCCAAGGGGCATCATGGCTATCCCTGGGGACCCATCCCATGACACAGCCACTCAATTTTGTTATACCTTTGTCTGCTGGGCTGAAGAACTCAATATCAGTGCACTGAACCCTTGGTAGATACTTAAACTATGATCAACTAACTCCTTAACATTTTCTTTGCTCAGCCAAAAAGCTAGAGCTCTCCTGCTAATGTTTCCTAGTCTTTCAATCACCCTTGCCTGAACTGTTTTCAATTATATGTATCAACATGCCATCTTTACTTGAATCCAAAATGTGTCTCTCTTCCCCATGTAGCATGGGGGCAAAAAAAAGGCCTCATCTTAGATTCATTTATAGCCCTGGGGTAGGTAATGGCCCAGCTCTGGCTTTGGCCCTCAATTCTGGGCTAAAACTGTAACTGAGCTGCTGCCTGCTCCAGGCCAAATGGCTCATTTGGCAGGGATGGGGGATCACAGCTGGGAGCGACCACACAGTGTTGAGGGCAGGGGGAGAAAAGACCCAGTAGAAGATATAATTTATAATTTTCCATTTATGTAATTTAGTTATGCAATTTTGGACAGGGCATCTTTAATTCAAAGCCTTCTTGGATTTGGGTAAATACAATACATTTGAAACTGTGGACACCAAAACTAACTGCAGTAGTGGTTGCACCAGTGCCTATTCCAGAGATAATATAAACCTCTCTATGCAAGTTAATGAAGGTAATTGGCATAGTAGTTGGGCTCAGGAGGAAGAAGAGATGCATTAACACAGAACTAAAAGAGACTGACAGCATGTATACCATGAACCAGGCATTCTCAGCGTCCTTCATGGTAGGACAGGTGTCCATATCACTAAAGCCACTGGACTGATGGTACAAGTAGTATTTTTTTTTTGACAGCCTCAGCCAAGGGCAATGACTGGACCCTGAAGACTTACCTACTCAACTAGTGTTGGCCATCAAAGAGAAGAATAGGCACACTTGGTTGTGTATGCATGTGTGACAGCTGAGTTCAGGGGCATTAAGAAGGGGTAATATGCACTGCCACAGTCAGACAACAGGGAAGGTTTCTTACTAACTAAAATAATTGTCTTACATAAAGTATTGTAGCTTGACCAGGGGTACTCAACCCCCAAACCATGGATGCATAGGAAGCCCCAGGCCCTGTACACCCAGTCAGGTGCTTGATCCCAGACCACAGGGTCGGGGGGGTCAGGCCCCAGGGTCCAATCCTGATGTGGTGGCCAGGAGGGGAGCAGTGCCAGGCCCCTAGTGCATGACAGCTGGGAGGGGACAGGCAGCAGGGCCTGGGGCCAGGCCCCTGGAGTCCAGTCATGACACCTGAGCCTCAGACCAGCCCTACACCACTCATCTAGCCTGCACTGCCAAAAGCTTAAGCACCACTGAGCTAGACAATTCCTTTAAGGAACAATTCTGAAGTGTCATATTTAATTGCTTGTACTGTACCACAGTTTTTAAAACCACCCCCCAGATCCAGATCCTGCATTTCTAGCATCTTCTCCCATCCTTCCCTCCCTCTTCAGTGCTGAAGCCCATCCCCAGCCTGCAGTTTGGGTCTTTACTGGTTTGATGGTTTTCAGAAGGCGGATTCCAAACTTCTCAATGCTGCGATGGGCATCTGCAAATTTCACAAAGGCTTCACTGGCAGCTGGCTGCGGCTCCCGTACGCCAATGACTGAGAAAACGTCTCCAAATGCTGAGTAAAGAAAATAATAAATGCAGATAGATAAGGGGCCTGCCATCAAGAACACTGGTGATGCATAGGGGTGCACATGCACCCCCTGAGTGTGGCAGTGCACCATGAAAAAGGTGGCGCCAACAGTGTTGGCGGCACCTGCGGGTGGTTGCCGCTTGCCGCCCACACTGCCAATGGCATCTGTGGATGATCAGCAATTGCTGCTGGCCGCCAGCAGCGTCTGTAGGTGGTCGCTGACCCCTGGTTGGCGCTCGCCACCCCCCAACCGCCAACAGCGCAGGTGGCGTCTGCGGGAGCTCTCTTACCTACCACCACCCTGCTCCCTCCACCACCGCTGTGCCCCACAGCTGCCAAGGGCATGCGTCATTCATGATCAAGAGCAACCTCTGCCCAAAATAAGATGCATATGGCCAGAAGCAGGGTAACAATCCTGTTACCACAGGATCCTTAGGGCAGTTTTACACATGCAAGCGCTGGGTGCTTATAAAAATGCCAGGCGCTGCTTGCAGTTGTATAAGTGATGAAATGCGCATCAGTGCTGAGAAAATGGTGGCAGTGTAATGAACTAAAACTCACTGAAGATGCTTTAGCTCAAGAAGACACTGCTGCCATTTTTTGTGCACTGATGTGCATTTCACCTCAGCTTGCAGTTGGCGTAGACTCAATTAAGCAAGTCAGCTCCAAAGTGGTGGATTTCCAGTGCATTGCGGGACAGAAAAGTACGTGTATAAATACTCTTAAAAACCATGGGTTTTCAGAGCCACACATCTCTCTCATAAGGTGATGTCTAGAAGCACAGTGCCTTCTAACACCAGGACAGAAAACTGGCTCAATACCAGTTCAGAAGGAAATGTTCCATTTCCTCGTTTATATCTTTAGAATCTATTTTTCTTTGCATGGTGCTCATGCATTCAAATGAGAACTAAGTCTAATGTTTCCAAGATTTAACATGATAATAATTTTTGATATGATAATAGTCTTCCATTCCCCACCTCTGATGAAGATCCAGCCTGTAACAAGGCTGAAGACTGAAGCTCTTTCAGTCTGCTCACCTCTATGTGTCTGGGATAGTTCAAAGAAAGCTCGAAGAAGACCCTTGGTGTGTTCTGTCAAGCCTGTAGTGAGAGGAAAAAAGAACACAAATAATGCAACTGTGATACAGTATCTCATCCTTTCCACCCACCTCAATCCAGATGTTTAACAGAAGAGGACAGTTTACCTTTGTACAGCTCTGCAGTCCTTTCCAGCTCCTCCAACCTCTTCACCAACCCATCTAGAGGGAAAAAGTGTCAGAGAGTATGGGGTTAGGATGCCCAAATTTGGAAGACATAAGGATCTGCTTGGCTCAAAGGAGCAGGCCATTCACTGCCTGGGTAGCTGATTTTCACACATCTCAGGCATCCTCTGGACCCAGCCTAAGATTAAAGAGCCCCAATAACACTATTTCATGAGTTCCCTAAGTAGATGTGGCAGACAGTGATGCAGCAGGTATGCCAGGGGATGGGAGCAGATCTATTTGCAGCAGTCACAAACTGCAAAAGAGAGTGTCCTATGGGAAAACCTAATTTAGATTAGTTTACCTAAGCACCTATTGGAAGTCAAAAGTGGAGAAGAGGATATTTCTAGAAGAGGGCTGTGCAACTGGCAGCCCATAATGAGTTAAACTGCCCATCGCACCCCTCATTGTTCCAGTTGCAGTAGCAGGTAAGGGGCTCCAGCCTCTGGGCTCCCCCTCCTTCCAGCCTTCCTTTCCTGCCCAGTGAACCCTGTAGCCCAGGATGCCTGGGTGGCACAGCGCAGCTGGGGTGTTCACAGCCACAAAGCTACCAGTGAGTCGGGGTGTCCTAGTGCACAATGTGGGGGGACAGGAAAACAGCAATAGTGTGTGGAGAGGAGGGTACATGCAGCCCCCAGAGCTCATGGCCTCTGCTGCTGCAGCCCCTGCTAATAGAGGTGCACTAATAGAGATTTTTTGGGCTGATACCGATAGCTGATTTTTTAAGGAGCCATATCGGCTGATATAGATCCAATTTCCGATATGCAGCCTAGCAGCTTGAAGTCTGTTGTGGTGGAAGTGGAGGAAGAAGGAAAAAGGGCATGGGGGGCGTGCAGATCAAGGTCCCTGCGGTGAGGGAGTGAGGAAGGGGCTGGTGCAAGTGCTGCACAGCCGGGGCAGGACATGGAATGGAGCCACAGGGGGGCACCTCCTGCTGCTGTGCACACCCCAGGAGGGCATGGGGGTGGGGGCACATGCCCCTGGATCTGCACAGGGTGGGGTGGGCTGCCGCTGTGAGTTGGGGCCTGGGCTGTGCTGGGCTCTTCCCGGCAGGGGCTGGGCCAGGTTCTGCTCAGGGTGGGTGGCGGCAGCACTGGGAGGGAGGTTTGGGGGGGCTGCAGCTACTGCAAAATTCACTGTAGCTCCTCCCAAGCCCTTCTCCCAGCACTACTGCCTGGCCCGAGTGCAGCCCAGCCTGAACCCTACTGGCAAGACTGTGATGCAGTTCCAGCCTGCAGCGGCAGCCCAACCCACGCAGATCTGGGAGCACGTGCCCCCCATGTCCTCCCAGGATATGTGCAGCGGCAGGAGCTGCCCTTCCCCCCCGCACGTGCTGGACGAGCTGTGGCTCCATCCTGTGCCCTGCCCCACCCCACCCTGGCTGGGCAGCACCTGCCCTTGCCCCACTCCCTCCCTCACCGCAGGGGCCTTGATCTGCGCTCCACCCACCACGCCCATTCCCATTCCCTCCCCCATCCCGTTCTACCACAACAGACTTACCAGCTGAACACTGCTCTTCAAGCTGCTGGGCTGTATATTGGAAATTGGATGTGCATCAGCCGATATGCTGTGGCTGCACAGATGCATGGGGCATTTATCTGCCACATTATCAACCACATCAAGCAAAAAAAGCCTATGTCTGATAGAGTAAATTTTCTTTATGTTGGTGCCAATCCGATATTGGACTGACGTATCAGTGCACCTCTACCTGCTAGTGGGGCCCGAGCAGCATGCCACTTGGAAGCAAATCTGTCCTGGACTGTTAATGCACAATTCAAGCAAGAAAGACTAATGAATGTTCCCTGCCTCACAAAATACCCAGACACAGCTATGTACTATCAGTATACCAAGAATAAACGAGGTTGTACACAAAAAATATGTCAGACATCAGTTCAGCACCCTTCCATCAGAGATCCAACAGTGCCAGAGAGGTTAATTTATTTGGCTCTCGTGAGCTCCTAGACCAAGGGTTGTCAACTGGTGGTACACGTACCCTTACAGGTACTTAGAAAGGTTGTAGGGGATACGCCTGCCCCAAGTGTAGCCTGGCCCGGCCTTGTGACTGGGCTTGCAGATCAAGACCGCCCCACAGTGCAAGAAGGAATGGGGCAGGGGTGAATCATTACCTGCTGCCCCTGCCCCACTGCTTCCTACACTGTACAGACTGTCCCACAACCTGACCTAGCCGGGGCCCCATTCACCATGAATGGGCCCTGGCTGGTCCAGGTCATGGGACAATCAGAGCCTGGTGGCTTGTCCAGGGGTGCAAGTGGGCATCTCCTGCCGCTGCATGCACAGCAGGGAAGCCAAAGGTGGGGGAACGTGCCCCCCCACCACCTTGACTACCCCATGCCAGGCTGCTGGACCAGCTGCCAGGCTCTGCTTGCCCCTTGACCTGGCCCAGCTGGGGCCCCATTCAATGTGAACGGGGCCCCAGCTGGGCTGAGTCATGGGACAATCCCCACAGTGAAGGAGGGAGTGTGGCAGCAGCAGAGGGTGAATGATTTGCCCCTGCCCACTCCCTCCTGCACTGTAGAGGGCTCGAGCCCCACTCCCTTCCTCACCACTGGGGTGGGGAAAGCAGATCGAGGCCCCAACGGAGAGGAAGGGAGCAGGCCAGAAGCAGGGGCTGGAGTGAATGGAGACCCACTCACCCCAGCCCCTGCTCCTGCCCATGTCCCACTCCCTCCCTCACTGCAGGGGGCCTCAATCTGCCCCCTAATGGCCCTTTCCCCTCCTCCTGCCCCTTCCCTCCCCAGACTTACCTGGTGGGGGGCTGCATGCATGCTCAGCCCCGCCAAATTTTTTCTCCCTCCACCTATGCAGTGCCTGCCCCTGTTCCAGCCCTACTCCCTCCCTCACCACAGGAGCCTTGATCTGCACCCCACCCTTAAAAACAAGGAAAAAAATATAAAGGGGTACATGAGCTGAATCTTTTGAGACCGAAGGGGTACACTTGTTAAAAATGTTGAAAATCCCTGTCCTAGACTACTAAATGTTGAAGGCCGGGTCATGTCTTTGGAAAAATTGTTTCACCTACGCTTGTAGTCAGGTCTAAACCTTCAGCCACAATCTGACAGTAACTTGAGGATTCTAAAACTACACAAAAGTGGAGCCCTCTCACCAAGAGCAGCTCAATTTCAGTAACAAAGCTCTCACTCACGGAGATGGAATGTAACAGCTGTATGTCAGCACATTCTGCTTCAGTGAGGGACAGGAAGCATGCTGAACCACATACCATTGGGGAACTGCAAAGGGAACTGTAAATCTGCATTTTCTTGCTGCTGCTGACATTGTTATAAAGGAGTATAACCATTCAATTCAGGTGGTATTCTTGCATCCAACCTTTTAAGCCTGTAGGACACTTCCAGGCAGACGTGCTGCAGGTTTTAGAACAGATACAATTTTATATATGACAAGACATCACAACTGAAGCAAATGCCTGATAGTTAACCTAGTTAGAGAAAGGAAACTGGCAGGTACGTGCTAACCCTGTAAAAGGACTGACATGCTGTTGAATCAAACTGCTTTGCAGTTGGACCATGAGGATGGAATTCTATTGTCAAGCAATTGTAAAACCAGAATGCTCCACCAAGAAAAAAAATTCAGGGCTCTCTCATTTCCCTTCATACTAAAGATACATGTGTTTACATCACACAATCATGAATGGTGACAGCCATGATCACAGGAATTCTCCCATTATATTTACTGGACAAAGAGGAAGGTGCCTTTTATTCCTACTACTTACCATTGCAAAGGATGGCTCGGCTCAGTCCTAGGGCATCTGCTGTCCCAGAGCTCATGTTCTCCACCAGCCGGTGCTTCACTTTCTTCAGCACTACAAATCAAGAGAGATTTGCAACTCAGAAGTAGTGTGGTTTTCACAGTCACAAAGAACACGCTGAACAGAACTCTCAGGCGTCTAATTTCACACTGGTCAGACACAGCCTAATTCAGCACAGCTCAGAGAGGAAGTGAATGGAGAGAGAATGCCACAGAAATTAGATATGAAGAAGATCTTGGCATAGGCAGTGCAGGCCTGTAACAGATTCTCCTGAACTATTTCCCAAGATTTGGGACCATATCTTGATTAGCGTATTCATTTTACTATTCCAAAGAAATTAGAAGAACAATATAAGAGTACGGCAGGTAGGTTTTACTGCTCAGCTAAATTTCCATTTCCTTGGAGTTAAAAGCTCCTGTACCCTTTCTAAAGAATTCCACTGCCTTTTGGTAGTAATACCCTTCAAATTCCTGTAGACAGTTACAGCCTCTTTGAAATAAATGACTGAACTATGTGTCTTCAGAGCCAACTGTTCAGCTGCAGTTCCCACTAACGTCAGCTGAAGACATGGATATCCAGCACTTTGAAAAATCAGACCTGCCTTTGCTCATATTTTTCCTCAGAAATCCATTTCCCAGCTAACTTCCCTTTGGTTTGTCAACACCTTCACTAACAAGGGGGAAGGAAACCAAGAATTAAAGAAATAGGTAAGTAGGAATGTACTTTGCTCTTTGTCCTGTTCAGGTTCTCCAAAGGGCGGGAAGGTGGCCACATTTAAAGAGGACACTTATATAGGTCAAACTCCTTATTTAGGTTTTGTTAAAAAAATAACCCAAGCCATATAGCTATACAGAAGGCAGGGTAGGAGGGGTCACCTTGAGAGACTAACTTGTTTGAGAAGATAAGTTTTTGTAGGCTACAGCCTACTTTGTCAGACACTGGGAATGGAGTACACATAGCTGTACAATATGAAAAGGAATGGTCTTGTGAGTGTCCGAAATGAGAAACCAGAAACAGCATTTTGGGACTGAAACTTTTCAATGCACAGCTGGAAATCCAAATGCACCCACAAAGATAGTATGTATTAAAAAAAACAAAACAACAACAAGCAACACTGTATTTCACAGTCTAAACTGAGTACAATACAGAAAAACAAGCTACAACAATGATGAGAATCACGTTATCATTTAGAACTTTTCTCATTTTGAATAATGCACCATTCTTCATAACATCAAGACATTTTTAGCCCATGGTTTATCCTGACAGTGTTAATTTTAAAAGGATGAGAATTAAGCAGCAGCAATGAAAGAAATTTTATTTTGGTTTCAGCTCAGATTTCTCCATTACCCTGTTCACAACCTGCCAAACATGGCAACCTTATGAGCAAAGGACAAAACCAGTACACCTTACCAATGTCCAAGGACTTGCCCTGCTTTGGATCGGCTTGCAGTTTGTTGTAGTGAATTGTCACCTCTCCCTGGAAGAAAAAGCAAAGCCTGAGGTGTCATTCTGGAAATGAGCAGTGGACATCACCTCTACTGCTGGACAAAAATTCATATACAGTGAGCCAACCTATTCCACAGGCCCCCTCCTACCACTTACCTTTACTATCTGTATCATTTTGGCCACCTCCACTTTGGTTTTCCCTTTGACTGACTTCCCATTTACTCCTGTGATTTCATCACCAGCTGCCACAGTTCCATCTAGGGCTGCTGGAGTGTTATCAAAAACCTGGGAGACGGGAAGAACAGTAGAGGAAAATGAAAATGGGTAAAGAGGGGAAGAAGAATGAAGCGATGAACAAAGACAGTAACAAAGAAGAAACAATTATCTTCCTGCCAGTTATTTTCTTGCTCTGATTTTGTCAGTTTAGTTTATGAGGAAGCCTCATTTCCCCTTGCATCTGAACCCGTAACTGTAATAAACCCTCAAAGAAGCAGAGATGGACTAATCACCCAGTTCCTTCTTGGACTGTCATCTTCATTTTGTGTATCATCTAGGGCAAAGTTTCCTAAAGTTGAGAACCTCACATAGAAGGTGCTACTCTCTCCCTTCCCTGTACATTTTAACATGCTCTCAGCACTCAGTAGATATACTATAGGGAGGATGTGCTAATTCAGAAGCCCTAAATTTATCCTTACACAGTTTTATCTGAGACATTCCTATTTATGAGAGAGAGAGAGAATACTTCACACACTAACTAAACCTGAAAAAGAAGGTTCTTCAGGCCTCCTTCAACTCTCCCCTCTCACACCTGACTTTGCTTTACAAAGATTCCTCTGCCATGAGTACTCACCTGAACAATATAGAGACAGGGGCAGTACTGTGCTCCTCCCCCAATGCTGATCCCAATAAGATTCTGAGAGTCCTTCTGCAAGGTTACCGTCCCAGGAACAGTGGGGATTCCCCTAGAACAACAGGGAGAGACAAGTAATAACTAGCACAGGCAGGTAGAAGCATACCTGCATCTGTGTGTAAGATGCTGGAGACACTAGAATATGAAAGCACATCCCATTCCTTTCATCTGAATACATCATATTATTGCTTATCTTACCAGCTTAGATTGTAGGAACCTGCACAAATAAGATTTAGATTTTAGTGGGGAAGGGGGTCGTGGCATAAAAATGTGCTGCATGGGTTGGATTCAGCCTGCAGTCCCATGGCTATGCTCAGTACACAGGGCCAGTTCCAGCACTACATGTGGCACATGGGGTGGGTGTGGTGGTTGCTGCATGCATGGCTGCACCAGACTGTCACTACATGCTGGATTTGACATGCCAAGCCAGTCTGAAGACCCGATTTGGCCCACAGACCACCCCTGTGCTACAGACCTGGCCCCACAGCCCAATGAGTTAGATACCCCTGATTTAGATTCATGTGCGCAAAGTCTAGAGACTAGTGATTATGCATGTAATGATGGTCTGGCTCAAGAGAGCAGATGCCATGTTGGGGAAAAACTATGCCCCCTCCTTCTGTCATTGGGAGCAGAAAGTGTAAGGGAGAAGAGGTGGAAGAGGCATCCACCTTCACTGGATTCTGTGAAACATACCCAAGATGCACAAATATTTTCAAAGTCATTTTATCAGGTCTGTGTCTGAGAGTTATGTAAATAATTATGCAGCAGGAATAAGATGCAGCTGACATTTAGCACTAGTCTCACAATAACAACTGCCTGTATTTTCCTCCCCCATAACTATCTTTCCAGTGGTTTCATGTCAGGTGTTTTCCATCCCCCTTTCACAGACCTAAGAATTCCACATTCTCTATTTCTTCCTTGGTACTGCTCTCTCGTCAGTGTAAACCACTCCGTAGGTAAGATCTCCAGATAAGAACATGATCAACAAGGCTTGCAATCAGAAAGGTAGGTGGAGTCACTACAGAGCAACAGAAAACATTTGGCTCTGTTCACTGCTACCATAATGCTCATCCCCACTAGGCAGAAGGAGTGAGTAGTTGTTGGAAAGAAAAGTGAAACACTCACAGTTTATCCTCTTCGATGTCGTAATCCAAATCTGAAAACATTGCTCCGGTTGGATAGGGACGGTGGCCAAGAAACTCTGTTTTATCCCAAACCACCTAGGTAGAAAGAAACAGAACAAAATCCAATGATTCCAACATTCAATTAGTGGATTCTTCTATAGTCAACAGCTAGAATAGGAGAATCAATCTGTATCCTCGGTTGATCCACCTCACTCTTCTCTAGTTAGGGACTGGAGCTCTCAGTTTTCTCTTCTGCCTTAGAAAGAAGTTATTTCAAACTGTCCCCATTGCCTGCTCTCAGGAAACAAAAAGAAAAGAGTCTTATTTTTACCCCTTAATTTCCAATAGCTTTCTTGTTTCCCCCAGCCACAAAGATATGAACACTGCTCAGGGCAGAACAGGAACCATTTGGGAAGCAGATTCTTTATGTATGCATCCATCCCACGATATTTCTCAGTAGTGTTGAGGTGATGCTGTTGTCCTGATAGTCCAACAAAAAAATGTGAGTGGAATAAATTCTCGTGGATGATATCTTTTATTGAACCAACTGCATGGTTGGTCTAAAATCCGGGGTGGGCAAAATATGACCCGTGGGCCGGATCCAGCCCACCAGGCCAGTCTATCCGGCCCGTGAGGCCCCTAAAAAATTTAGAAAATTTAATATTTATTTGCTCCTGGCTGCCTATCAAAGATGACAGGAGCCAAGGGCAGTAGGACCCAGGGGAAGCCGGCAGCAGGACCCAGCAGCAAGGTCCCCCAACCAGAAGCCCCTGCCTAGCAGAGGCTTCTGGCCTGGGACCATGGGGCTGTTCCTGCTGCCCTGCACTGGAGAGGGAAATGCGGCCTTCGACAGCTTGCCAGAACTTGGTAAGTGGCCCTCCGCCCAAAATAATTGTCAGTCCCTGGTATAGATGCAGGCAAGCTTTCAGATATCACCCTCAGGACTGAGGAAAGGTACCGTGACACCTGAAAGCTTGCCTCTATCTATCCCAACCACTCAGTTGGTCCAATAAAAGATACTACACGTTGCCTCTCAGTATTTCTCAGCAATCTCTGGTGCCTTATACCCTGCACACACTGAGTATTTCAGCTTCTTGATTCTGAGATAAATGGCTCTGCCTGTCAATGCCTTGTTTTTATTTGGTAGGAAAGAAGTAGTAAGGGAACAGTTTTGCACAGTTTTCCTAACTATTTTTTTCATGCAAAGTATTCCCATTTCCAATAAATAACCTTTCCTAAACTTTCTGCCCCTCCCTCCTTTTTGAGCACAAGAGGAACCAGCATTTCTCTCTCTTTATCTTTTCTCAGTCATAAGGGTTTCTTATAGTTGGATGACATGGTTGCTGGGAAGCAGGATTAGAACTGGCCAGAGGGTTTGCTTTTTTATGAGCAGGGAAGTCATGGTTGGGGTGGGAGGTGCAGGAGAGAGAGTGGCATTTTGGGGAGTTGGCTGCTGTTTGCTATCTGTGTGCCGTGTGCCTGTTCCTGCAAGCAGCATCATGCCTTGTGGATACAGTGGGATATAAATCCAAGTATAACTGTTTTTATTAGTAATAGTGGCAATTACAGGTACTCCTCACTTAGCGTCGTCCCAGTTAGTGTTGTTTTGTTATTACATTGCTGCTCTATTGGAGAGCATATTAATTTAAAGCCACACAATGTTCAGTTATAGTTTGGCCGCTGCGTGCTAGTAGGCAACTACTGTATAATATTATACTTCTAACTAATACAATAATGTAATATATAAGAATTCAAAAATAATAGTCATATGGAGTCACAGAGAAGCAAGTCTGGAAGGGACCTCCAGGGGTCTCCTAATCCAACCTCCTACATGAGGCAGGATCATCCCTCTCCAAACCATCCCATACAAACCATGATCTAAACTCTACATAAGACTGCTGTATTTGTAATTATCATTACAATATAACATCGTAATAAAAGGTAGTATAATAATGTAATGCAGCAACAACAACAACAATATATCGCAAGCACCATCGTTCTTGTAGCAAAGCAAGGCTGGAAGGGAAATCCAGAGGTTGTGGAGATCAGGGGTTCCCAACCTTTTTTGTACTAGGACCCATTTGTTAACATCAAAGACCAGTCCCAACCTGCTGCCCCCAAGCCCTGTGTGTGGGGCAGGGGTGCACGGGGACCCCAAGCAGCCCCTCGCAGCCTGGATCTCTGTCATCCTACATGGGCACAGCCACGGTTTCCCAAGTTTTTCTCCTTCAAAGGAGAACCCGTGTTTAAAGTTCCTTCTTGACCCTTTCATATATTCTTGTGACCCACTTTTGGGTCTCCACCCAGGCATTGACAAACACCAATCTAGTCCAACCCCCGGCCTGAGGCAGGACCATCCTATGCAAACCGCGACTAACCCCCGCACCACACGGCCCCGGACCCTGACAGCACAGCCCTGCCCCTCCCCTGCGGCAGGTGCAGCACGGCCCGCGAGCCCCTGCCCCGCGGTGATGCACTTGTCAGTGGAGCTCAAGAGCTCCCAGGCAGAGCCTCGCCCCCAACCCCCGCAGCCGGTACCACGGGTGACACCTTCCTTCCTGCCCCAAGCCCCGCAGCGCCCCCCGCTGGCCCCTCCGGGCGGGGCAGGGTCCCAGCTCTCACCGGAAGTGGCTGGCTCCAACCCGGCCCCGCATCCACCTGCCGCCGCCCCCGCACCTGTCAGAACCCGATTCTCTGCGTCACTTCCGCGCCGCGGCGGAAGCCGAGCCAGCTCAGTCCCCTCCCCCCTTTGTTGGGAGGCGGGGGGAATCACAAAGAGGAAGAGAGCCGGGGCTTGCGCGCTCCCATCTCGCGAGAGTTGAGGAACGTGAGGCGCAAAGAATTAGGGGAGAAGGGAAGGAAAGGGGTGACGTGTAAGTGCAGGTTGCCATGGCGACAACCAATGGAGGAAGGGGCGGGGCCGTGCTGGGGGTTCGTGACTTGTTGGCGGACATGTTGTGGAGCAGCGGCTGGGCTGTGATGTCCGTACCGCAACACCCCCCCCCCCCCAGGGCCGCCCCCCAG